GGCTGAGTACAGGATGGGATGTTTCGTCACAGAAGCAGAAAAAGAGGGAACCCATCAACTGGCTGGAGCTCTCAGAGCAGCCATGGAACAGATGAGCCACCCTGAGTAGGAACTGCCTCCACGCAGCCTGGCCTGAATTCAGATGGCTGGGAGCTGCTCCACTGATCTTACCTCCCTCTCCTCAGTGCTGAGTCTGAGCCATTCAGTGATGTTCCTGCACAATAAGCAGCTCAAACTCTCAGCCCCTGCTGTAACGCAGAAGGGGCTGGAGGCAGGTGGTTCTCAGCAAGGGGCCCTGGTCACACTGCAAGGCCAGTTGTTCTGCACTCCCTTCCTGAGAGCGAGGCACAAGCTGGTTGGTGGGGGTGGAGGGAGAGGCCTGGCTTGAGGTGCTGGGTGAACCCAGGGGCTTCAGTTGGACACCGGTCCCAGACTGTAGCCATGTGTTACCGTGAGTGTCCATATGCACAGAGCATTGGCCAGAAGGCCTTGTAATCTGTTGGCAACACGGCTTCTACAGAGCAAAACAAAATCACCATGTCCTGGGGCCACCATCTGGCCCAGAGCTCAGCTGGGCACCCACCAAACCAGGAGCACCCAGCACCACTGGAAACAGCATGAACATGGGCCATATTCTGCCACCCAGCAGATTAGCCCTGCCAGGAGCAGGAGCGACAGTGCAGCATGGGCAATTCTGCACAGAGCCCATTTCTGAGTCAAAGGCGTTGGGGCTGGAGCACATGGGCCAGTGATACTCAGACTGTGGCTCGGAAGCCGGTAGGGGCTCTTTACCATGTCTCCTGCGGCTCTTTGCAGCACACGTTATTAAAACACTGTGTGATTTAATTATTAACCAGTCCAAACTATTAACCAGTCAGGATGCTTTTACTATGTGATTAGCCAATTGTAGTTGATAAAATAATAATACTTGGTCAGTCATTTTGCTGTGAGAATAATATATACATATATTATTTCTAGGGCTGTTGATTGATTGCAGTTAACTCACATGATTAACTTAAAAAAATTAATCACGATTAATCGCAGTTTTAATCGCACTGTTAAACAATAGAATACCAATTGACATTTATTAAATATTTTGGATGTTTTTCTACATTTTCAAATACATTTCAATTACAACACAGAATACAAAGTGCACAGTGCTCACTTTATATTATAATTTTTTATTACAAATATTTCACTGTAAAAAAGATAACCGTATTTTTCAATTCTCCTCATACAAGTACTGTAGTGCAATCTCTTTATCGTGAAAGTGCAACTTACAAATGTAGATTTTTTGTTATATAACTGCACTCAAAAACAAAACAATGTAAAACTTCAGAGCCTACAAGTCCACTCAGTCCTACTCCTTGTTCAGCCAGTCACTAAGATAAACAAGTTTGTTTACATTTACAGGAGATAATGCTGCCCACTTCTTATTTACAATGTGAGAACAGGCATTCACATGGCACTTTTTTAGCTGGCATTGCAAGATATTTTTGTGCCAGATATACTAAACATTCATATGCCTGTAGCAGAGCGAGACTCACCTCTGTGGCGCCTCCTGCTGGTTTCCTGGGAATTAGCTCTTTTTCCAGCGCCCTCTGCAGGCCGGTGTCCCACTTGCCGCTGCCCCCCGTGTCCCTCCAGGACCCCGGTGCCCTTTACCCAGGGGTTCTGCCCACTGCAGCAACCCCCAATCTGGGTTTCCCCACTCAGGGGAACCCCCGACCCTCACCTCACCTCAGTATCAGGCTACTGCCAGTAACCATCTAGCCCCTGTTCACTGGAGCAGACTGCAGTGTACAAGCCACTCATCACAGGAAAGGGGGGTTTGGACCTGCTGCCTTGGCCTACCCCTGGGCTGCCCTTTGCAGCCCCAGTACCCTTCTGGGCCTTTAACAAGGCCTGCAGCCTGGGGGGTTTCCAGGCCGGAGCTCCCCAGCTCCTCTGGCCTTCCCCCAGCCCTGCTCCACTCTAGGTACCCTGTGAGCTCCTATGCAGCCAGGCCCTTCCCTCTCTAGAGACAGAGAGAGACTGACTGCTCCTGGGCCACTGCCCTCTTATAAATTTAGTTAACACATTATTTTTTAATGAGCGTCATCAGCATGGAAGCATGTCCTCTGGAATGGTGGCCAAAGCATGAAGGGGCATTGTACCGGGGTAGTCACCCCGCTCCTGCCCAGAGGGGTTAACAACAGCTCGGGAGAGGGCTGTGGCTGGGGCAAGCAGCTCCAAGACTGACTGGGGAAGCAGCCTCAGCTGGGGCCACGCCCCAATCAGGGCCCAGCTGGCCCTTATAAGAGGGCAGTGGGCCAGGAGCAGTCAGTCTCTCTTCGCCTCTAGAGAGGGAAGGGCCTGGCTGCATAGGAGCTCACAGGGTACCTAGAGCAGAGGGAAGGCCAGAGGAGCTGGGGAGCTCCGACCCGGAAACCCCCCAGGCTGCAGGCCTTGTTAAAGGCCCAGAAGGCTACTGGGGCTGCAAAGGGCAGCCCAGGGGTAGGCCAAGGCAGCAGGTCCAAACCCCCGCTTGCCTGTGATGAGTGGCTTGTACACTGCAGTCTGCCCCAGTGAACAGGGGCTAGACGGTGACTGGCAGTAGCCTGATACTGAGGTGAGCTGGGGATAGGGGGTTGGGAGTTCCCTGAGTGGGGAAACCTGGATTGGGGGTTGCTGCAGTGGGCAGAACCCCTGGGTAAAGGGCACCGGGGTGCAGGAGGGACACAGGGGCCAGTGGCAAGCAGGACACCGGCCTGCAGAGGGTGTTCCGGACCTGGAAAAAGAGCTAATTCCCAGGAAACCAGCAGGATCTGCTGCGCCGGTGAATCGTTACAACGGTGGTGGAGAATGTGGGTACATGCGGTCCTCCCCTGATACAAGGGGCTGGGCAAGGACTGTGAAACTATTGCCCGAAGAGTGGAGAACTGAGAGAACTAGGGGATGATGGATCCTGCTTACACGGGGATCTTCTATGCAGAGACCCCAGGTGCAGTCCCTGGTTGGGCCCCGGTGTCAGCGCCCCGGAGGAAGGCTGTGGAGGAAGAGCCAGGGCTTTTAGCGGCTTAGTCAGCTGTGCTGACCAGAGTCGCCAGGGTCCCTTTTCAGCTGGGCGTTCCGATTGAAAACTGGACTCCTGGCAACTCTAAGCATTATCTCCTGCAAATGTAAACAAACTTGTTTGTCTGAGCGATTGGCTGAACAAGAAGTAGGACTGAGTGGATTTGTAGGCTCTAATGCTTTACATTGTTTTATTTTTGAGTGCAGTTATTTTTTGTACATAATTCTACATTTGTAAGTTCAACTTTCATGATAAAGAGATTGCACTACAGTACTTGTATTAGGTGAATTGAAAAATACTAGTTATTTTCTTTTTACAGTGCAAATATTTGTAATAAAAATGAATATAAAGTAAGCACTGTACACTTTGTATTCTGTATTGCAATTGAAATCAATATATTTGAAAATGTAGAAAACATCCAAAAATATTATTCTATTATTGTTTAATAGCGTGATTAATCGCACGATTAATTGCAATTAATTTTTTAAATCACTTGACAGCCCTATTTTTTATATATATTTTTATTTATATATATAT